TAATCAAGGTTCACACAAGGTGGTTAAAGTGTTTGAATTTGGCTTTTAGAAATTCCTGGAATACCTGGAAAACTGGCTTGTTTTGTTGAAAAGTGCTTGAAATTAAAAGTAGAACTTCTGTGAAGTTTTCACCCCGGAAAAATAAAAATCTTTGTGAACTTTTGTGACAATTTATTGCAAAAATACCCGCACAATATAATGATTCCCAAGTGGTGATTTGACTGGTATGAAAAGTGGCCAATCACAGTCGACCTTGTCTAGTTTGGGACAAAGGCCTTTATGTGTTACAGTGGCAGAAAAAAACAACTGAAAAACACTATAGACACTTACTTCACTATTGAGATGTCAATAGCCCCTTTCACACATACAGACCTTTCCGGAAAATTGCCGGCAATTTTCCGGAAAGGTTGTATGTGTGAACAGGTCCTTTTTGAAAATACCGGTAAATTCGTTCTGGCTAATTTCCGGAAAGAGAAGTTGTAACATTACCGGCAATTTGCCGGAATGCTGCGCTGTGTGAATGCAGAAGGAAGATTCCCGTAATAAGCGCGTGCACGTCTAGAACGTGCTGACGTGAGACGTCTGCTTTAGCCAATCACAACAGTCAGACGCAATTATGTCCGCGCGGTTTGTGAGGATAAAAGCCTTTGAATATTTTTCCAGACACATTTAGCTGCTAGAAGTTAGTCAGATCACGTTTATATGTTCTTCTTAATGCCAACTGTGTAAATAATCATCGATGAGATGCTTATGATAAGCCGTTGTTTGTTTACCTTCAAGCTTTGCGTGTGCCTGTGATACAGCCTATGAGCGCCTGCACAAGCACATATTATGAACATCTCGACATGCGAAAGTGATCCTGCGAAAGTTGTTCACAATATTGATCATCCACAGAGTTTGTAATTTAGTCAAATGTTTACAAATACAAGCGCAGCCATTTAAAGCTCATTTGTGGTGAATGATGTCAGAATTTACCGGTATTTTGGAATGGATGTGTGAATGCTCTTTTCCGGAAAATTTCCGTAACGTCCTCGCCTGTGTGAACAGCGCTTTTTTGAATATACCGGTAAAGTCGTTCCGGAAATTTTCCGGATATTTACTGGTATCACTGTGTGAAAGGGGCTAATGTTATTAGTAAGAGTAATTAAACCGCGGACATACTCTCTGCCTTTCGACGATCTACACACGTTTCGCCCTATTTTCTCCGATGGCGAGTTGACTCGCCTCTGACCTGTCACTTCTAAATACAGTTAGTCTGAATGTCGGCGCGGGAATGCAGGTTTTGCGTAATTACTTATTTCTGCAAATGTCCCAAGTGCTTTATTTTAACATGAGAGCGCAGTCATGTATGTTAAAACTGGCCATGCGAGCCCTTGAATAGGCTTTTTTAAATGAACTATAAGTCCTCTTATCATTGCGTGTGTGCTCAGACTGTATACAATCGCGATCTTTTCACCATTAAAGTAGAAATTATTTATCTTTGCTCCTCGACTAAATTTACTCAATAACTATCAAGTATTTAGAATTAGATTGATGCATGACAGATGACAATACTAACCGACTTCTTATTTAGCTGCATCGTGAAGTGAAACTTATACTTTTAGCAAAGGTGAAACTTTTTTATTTCTTTACGACAAAATATTTATGCTAGAAATGTTTCTGTTTGAGGTATTTAAAAGTTTAAAAATAACTAGCTTTTTTTTTGTTTATCATAACAAATGACTAAAATTTACTACTATTATTTGTCTTTTAAAAGGAACTTAATTGGCATGATTTTGACACTATATTATACACAGAATGTATGTGTATTTTTACATCAGATCAGACTTTTAATAGTAAATACAAAACATCTCCATCATGTTTTTAGTAGTCTGGTATGAGTTTTTATTTATTTTATTTATTTATTTTATTTATTTTGACATTGCTGCCTCTTACAAAAGGACAGTGTATTTATCATTAATGGTGTTTTCTGCAAAGTGGTCTGTTCAAAAAAGAGGCAGGATGTTATGTATGAGAACAATTAGAATGATCATGTTACCTTAGTTCATTTTATCCCCTGGCTCACCGAAAAATGGACTAATTTGTAATTCGTCTCACTGATTCACCTTCAGCAGCTAATACTGGAAGCAATACTGGAAACACAAAATGCAAGAAATAACAAGATAGTTACCTGAACCATAGTTTTATTCCATTTTCTGGAAACGAAGAGTGTCTGACCCAGCTATCTGTGTATTATCTGCAACAAAGTTCTTGCTAAACGAATGCATGAAGCCATCCAAATTAATAAGACATTTGCAGACGACTCATCCCCAATAACGCAGCAAGCTCAGAGCATGTTTGAGTGCAAGGCAAAGGAATTGACCCTAACCCAAAATGAGATCAGGGACGTCACAGCTACTGACAAGAAACTTAAAAAAAAATTAAAAAATACTAATAGGTCCAATTTAAAGGCCAAAGGCTTACATTTTTCAGTTACAAGTTGTCTACTTATGTTTTGCTTTTACATTAGGCTATTATTTGTCCACAAACTTATCTAGATATACTGTAGTAATAATCATACCATTTGTTTGAAAACAACATCTTTACTGCAAACTTATACAAGGGATGATATCATTAAATGTTGAGCAGGGCCTCACAATATTTTCGAGGGGAAAAGGGGGTCTTGGGCAAAACATGTTGGGAACCACTGCTGTAGTAGATTGTATATTTAAAAAATTATAAATGATGCTGCTAGAAGTCTGTGCTCATTTATTTGAACAAAACTATAGTAAAACTTGCAGTACTTTCAAACACAGCTTCAAATTCTTACTTTTCTTTTTTCAAATGTTACCCGTACCACATGATCCTTCACAAGTCATTTTCATATGCTGATTTGTGCAGTTATCTTCTGTATATTTTTTTTAATAGAAACAAACTTTTTGTGTTTCTTTGATAGAATGTTTCAAACCACAGCCTTCATTTGCTGCATTCTTTGATAAATAATAGTTAAAAACGCTACAAACTTTTAAATGACGTGTGTATGTTTGATATGTGAAGATAAAATGAAAATATGCTTTCAGTTGTTTAAAAGCATCTATAAAGAATAGATGTAGTCGTGACTTTTAATTCATTTTTGTCTGTTCAATTGAAAGTGCATTCTTTATTAATGAGCGATGCTGCATTATTTTTGATGAAGCCTTTTGTTTGCAGTATTTTGCAGATTTGAGGAACAGCATTGTGAACAGCCAGCCGCCAGAAAAGCAGCAAGCCATGCATTTATGCTTTGAAAATCTCATGGAGGGCATAGAGCGAAACTTGCTCACCAAAAACAGAGACAGGTAATGTCATTTAATCAGAGTTCAAACCTGCTTTGACTTTAAGTCCCTGTTTCCACCTAGTATTAACATAGGGTTACAGTGATCCCGTCACACGAGGTCAGCCAAGACGCATTAGCATCACCTGGTACAAATATGCATTTGGATATGCATTTAAACACAAGTGCTCACAAATTTTGCTCGGAATTGATCACATACGAATTTGCATTACAAATCTGTCCAGGCCAATGCATTTTTGAACACCACTTAAAGTAGACAATTCAAAATCTGTCTGATCTTGTTCACAACTGTAATGAGCGATGTCTGCTTGACCAGTTACAAAAAACTGCATTTAAATGATAGGCTGGTCCAATATTTTCAGCTTTTCCACTTTCCAGTGTTAGCCTCCTGAAATGTAAAAATATGGCACATTATTTACTTTATTTAGGACCTGAAGAGAGTTAGGGATTTTTTGTTGTTGTTTTTTTTTTGGCAAATATTATAATTGATGGTGGTTCTAGACCAGAGTAACTGGGGAGCCGTTTGTACGTTTAGGGAGCGCACTTTAACATGCATCACAAACTACTTCATTATTAAGTCTTTTTTTCCATGCATCTCTCTGCAGTCTTCATTAGCAAGCCAATAAAATTACAGTCTCAAAATAATCTTCCATGTTAATTTATTTGAAAAGTAACTTTAATAACACTTTTTTAAAATTCTAGTACATCAAGGCACATTTTTGCACCTGAAAACCAGTTGAAGTCTTTTTATTTGTTTTTGTTTTTTTGCCGTCCTATTAAATAAAAATAATGTTTCTTAAGTGATCTCTAACAAACCAAGCAAAATTTTCACAGTATTAAAAAATAATTATTCTGTCATAAGTCTTATTTCTTGCTTTTCTTGAATAAAAGCAATTTAATTTTTTTTAAACAATTTTAAGTTCGGTTTTATTAGCCTCCTTAGGAAATATTTACTGTGTATTTTTGACCGTTTACAGAACAAACTAGTTTTACAATAACTCAACTAAATATTCTAACTTTCCTAGTTAACATAACCTAGTTAAGTTTTTAGATTACTCTTTAATCTGAATACTATCTTGCAAAATAACCAGTAAAATATTAAGCACTAATTGTCACTATGGGAAAGAAGTTATTAGAAATGAGTTGGTTAAACTATTATGTTTAAAAATGGGTTGTTAAAAAATCATGTGTTTAAAGACTCGTGCTTTGTCACTACTGAAAACAAAAATGAATGAAGACAAAACTAAACCAGTTGAATATGACTTTTACATATACATGACTGAAAACTGAATATGATCAATGTGTTACATCTGTTCTTTGATACTTGCTGACTGCTTGTAAATTCAAAACCGAATTTCCTAATGTAAAACTATGTACACTAAATTTCTGATTAATATTAGCCTCTGCATAATCCTACATTACAAGTTTTAACAACCCCCCAGAACGGCCTTTTGTTGGCTTGATGTACATCACATAACATATCTTTACTAAACTCAAACTAAGATTTTACAAGCAGTACTAGCATTTATTAAATAAACCTAACAGGCATCTGCCAATATACTCACCAATTGTTTTTTTTTATTTTCATTTGCCCCTTAGTGAGTGATAATTTTAGCACGTTTATAACTTCATCCTCAAACTCATTTTTTCTGTCTCTCTTTCACAGGTTTACACAGAATCTTTCAGTATTTAGAAGAGAAGTCAATGACTCCATGAAGAATTCCACATACGGGGTAAACAGCAACGACATGATGAGCTGACATTCCATAGAGCACCAGGCTCCGCCCGTGTGGCCCGGCCCCTCCCTCAACTCCCACCCGCCCCCAGCCCGGCTGCTGGGGGAGCACCGCTGCGCAAGCCTGCACCTCCCGCTCCCCAGTCCCTAAAAACCCCATTACCTCTCTCCCCTCACACCTCCCCATCCCTTTTTTATATATATATATATATAAATATATATATACACATATAAATATATACATATTTTAAAGCCAGTTTCTAGAGGTCATTCTCCTTGACCATTCTCTTGTCATTTGGGGCTTGAAGTCCAAAGAGAGAGAATAGGGTACGGCTGGGGAATGGGTTTGGGGTGTGGGACCGCACCAGTGTGGACTCTATAGAATGGGCAACACACCCAAACCGCTCCGAGGGACGAAGTGGGCGCCTGTGTTTGTATGTGAGTGTGTGTGTGAGAGTGCAAGTGTGTTTGAGAGCATGTCTGTGGGAGGAAGGGTTAGGATGAGCTGGTATACATAGTGCTCTGCTTTTGCCTGCCTTGTATAGAAACACATAAGGAAAAAAAAAAGTGTACATTTTTTTCATAACATTTTCAACAATGTTTATAATGATTACGATTTAAGACAAAATAATGAGTGTGATTGAAAACTTTTTACAGTCTAGTAAGTTAGTGCAACTGTGCTGAAGTGTGGGTTTGTCTGTTTGGAGAGAGTCCTTTATATCCGCTGGTGATGTGGGATTGTGGCGTGAGTGCTGGGATTAACACCTGTCCACCGATGGGATGGGATGAGAAGTCGAAAATAGGATCAAAAGTTGTACATTTATTATTTTCCCCGTTCTCCTCCTAGAATTGACTCCAGAACATAAACGGGAGCTTTGTAAATACACGAAACCCCTGGCGTTAGCGTCTTCAAGACGCCATTTCCCTCAAGTCTTGGGCATGATAAAGTTTTTGTCAACCTTCGCCTTTATGGTCATCTTGACATTTCCACCACCTCCATCACTGAGGATGTCCTTAGTTTGACCCATCCTTGTGTAAAATTCATTCCGAGAGCTCCGTTAAAGGAGAAAACAACCCCCTCCCCCCTCCTTTTGTCTCCTGAAGGGTTTGATCATGTTGTCTGTGGATTTGATTAGATAAAGTGACTTGGTTGTGGTGAAGTTGCTCTCTGAGCTTTCGTCAAACTGTTTTCCCTTGCTTTTTGATCTCACAGGCTTCCAGTCTCTCGTGGCTTTATTGTTGATCTGGTGTCATTCGGTAGTGAAGCCTCTAGAATGTAGCCGTGTCCTTTAAAAAATAAAATCTAAAGGCCCTGGTACTCGAGTCATCGACAGGATCATTCTCAACAGTTGTCTCTAGCTTTAACCCTATTTGTTTTCCGTTCTCCCCTTGGAATTCAGTTTTATTTTCAATAACGAACAGCATCAGAATATGGTAGATTTAAACAGAGGCCGAATGGAGTATATTAGCAACTTGTGCTACTCAACAGATGTTGCTGCTAACTGTTTGTGAAGAACTAGCTCATCTCTTAACCTTGTCCAACACTCATGGATGTTCACTTTTCTTTCTTGGTTCCCTGATGTGAATGTGTTTTTTTGGCGACTGTGTGTTGGGTCCATTGAGTGATAAGGTAGCTGGTTGAACTGTTTGATTGTTTGTTTGGATGTCTGCTACATATAGTGTAAGCATTGTGACTGCAAAATAAACATCATTGGTTTGTACTAGTATGTGCACTTTTTGTGATCGACAGTCCCACATCGTGACAAATAAGGTTGAAAGTAACATGAAATCAAAAAATAATCCATCAAGCTACAATATATGCCTTATTGAGGTATGTATACCATAAAACAGTGATATATTAAATACTGGAATATTTTGTGCACAGATGATGGCAGTATCTGTGTTCTAGTACTCTTGGGAGGTTTGGTTCAGGTTAAACTGGTGTGATTGCTTTTTAAAGTGTGATTCAGAGAATAATGGTACCTTTCCACTGGCATGTTGTGAGGCTTCAGAGTGAGCATTTTCAATTGATTCCTATTGAAGTTAAGTATAATGCACTGCATGAGCATTGACCATCCTCTGAATAAATTAACTGAAAATGCTCTGCTTCATTCACAATGTGCCAGTGGAAACACACTGCAAGTGTGAACGATGCCATCAAAACCAGTGTGAACCGAAAAGATGACGGAAATTATATTGCTGTTTTTACTCTTTGCTGTTCTTGGCACATTAGATAAGCTTCTCAGAGAGCATAATCTTCACACAGAGCATTTTTTTTACCAGAACTAAATGAATAATTTTCCATTAGTCTGCACCAAACAAGCCAAACCACAAAGTGTGAACACCTTCTTACTGTAAACTAAGTTGAAGAACACTAGTTCAAACTAGCGTTGCATTTAAGATGCATTGTCAGTTTATGCATTCGATAAGGATCATTGGATTCTATAGGGAAAATCAAGTTGAGACTTTGACAGGACAGGAGGACCATTTTATTTTTGACACGATTGAAAAGAAGGCTGTTAAAAGCAAAAGTATTGCACGCTCAATAGTGTGCACTGTTGTTAAATAACAATGATTGTTTACCTGATGAAAAATGAAATGTCTCCAAACCTCTCCAAAACTGTGATCAAGTGTGAAGACTATGTGTTTCTCACCAACTCAATTTGAGCAGTTCAATATAGCATGTAACCTAAAAAAGGCTGTTTAAACGTTTTTGGTATATAACCATGGTCTCCGCTATATTCATTCTTCCATGGCATGGCGCCACACCAAATTCATTCCCACCGCGGCTACTTATAGCTTCCCATTTGAAACCTTCAGTTGTTGTTTTTTTTAACGTGGGTTACAATCGCACCAAAATGGTTTAATGTTATCGTAGTAGTGCAATGCGTTTTTTGTTTAACCCTTTAACACTAAAACCACCGGAGGTCGCTGTATACCTAAAACTGCCAGTGCGGTCCAATTTTGTTTAGAAATTGCTAATATATATATATATATATATATATATATATATATATATATATATATATATATATATATATATATATATATATATATATATATAAAATTTTATATTCAACTGGTTTTCACCACGGTTAACAAGATTATTTTAGGAGTAGGTTATGAGTAGGTTAAAATATCTAAACTTAAGCCATCATACTCTGATGCATAACTTATTTCTCCAGAATCTCCCATCATTCTTTGCATTTTGTGTTTTAATAGCTCTACAAATCGCCTTCTTTTAGTCATTGTGACTTCATTTATTTTAACCACTAATTCAGTGAGTGAAACTGAAAAGAAAAATCATTGGCGCATAAATACAATCATTTATATAGTGGGTAAATTTGACCCCCACTGGCGCTTATAGGTATAAATGTCCAACTTTTTAATCTATTTTTATTTAAACAACTTGAATCAATATCTAGGAGTTGTAAATTAGGCAATTTTAGTAAAAGTCACTAACTGGAAGGCTTGAATGTTTTAATAAAGGTCTGTGATGTACATTTGAATAACAGTGATGAAGGGTAAAATTGACCCCATGGTGGTTCTAGTGTTAAGGTTACATGCTGACTGACTGATGCATGAGGCCAGCAAGCATGACACAGCTTTCAGTTTCCATAATTATACTTTATTTATAGATAAAGGTTTATGGTTCTGCATACAGTGACTTTAGCCTGCTGGAGTTTATAGCCGTTTCACTTTACTTCGGGACACATCAATGCCGTACTGGAGGTCTATTGGAAACATTCTGAAATATTCCTAGCAAATTTAATAAATGTCGGAGACACTCGTAACAAATGCGCTAAAGTAGGGTTTATTTGAGAGCACACAAGAAAATCTGCTTAAGCAGCATTTATTTGAGGGCGTGCAAGAAGTTTTGTGCATGAACAGAGAAAATCAGCACGCAAGCTCGTATTGCAAGAATGATCTCAAGTTGTAATACTGCGCTCACAACATTTGTCATTGAAATAATGCCACTGGTAATTGAAAGATCTCCGTAAAAAAAGTCCTGCCGCCACAGCTGGAAAACCCCTAGAGGAAACACTGATATCTTGTCGTAGTTGGAAAAACATTGTTTGCAAATGCAGTTATGTTGAGTTAACCAAACAAGCCATTTCATTTTTAAGAGGGGAAAAACTGGATTTATTACAAAAACAAAATGGTGCCAGACATTAGTGAAAAATTCACTTAAATTATCCACCATCCAACTCTTGAATACAACTGAAAAGCCCATTTTAAATACAATTACACAGAAAAACATCTAAGCTTTCCATCTCAGGAATTTATAAAGGTATTCCTCCATTGTTGAACGTGATGTGTTGAAAGTCTCCTCAACACCTAGAAGGCCACTTTAAAGATCATGCAGTCATGATTAACTCTTGTCTTTTTTCAGTTGTTTGGTTTTTGAATTGGCTTTGTGCACAATGTCATTGTAGCCTTCTCTGTTTCTGGCAATCTCAATGGCGTAAAACTGGATTCTGGTTGCTGAAATGAAAACGGTGCAAAATATTTATTAAGGGTTCCCAATTCAGCTATATGGCCAACTTTGAAGCTGCTGTGAAATGTCTATTGTCTACCATCACATCCAAATGATTGTTTTAACAATGGCCGTGCAGATATTTTCAAGCATGTCACTTACTTAGCAAAGCATTCACAGGGTGAAGAAATGTATTTGAATAACCCTATAATTCAGGTGATATCCCTGTATGGGTTTTTGCTTTTAGTTAGATATAAGATTTAAATAATCACGCAAGCAAGAGTGCTATTTTCTTCTATATCTTCAAGTGAGTGTGATCATAAATGTCATATTAATTTTATCCAGCACATGTGACATCACATACCAAATATTGTGTTCTCTTCAGTGTAGTCCTTTTGACAGTCTAGACGTAGTAGTGTACCATAGTTGAAGTCCTCAACAATACCTTCAAACTGGTTACAAAAGGGCCTCCAGTTCTGGAAAAAAAATCCATTAAAGAGAGCTTGAGCCATAAGAACCTAACCATATATGGGACTATATACCAGAAACGTAAATTTTCACTTATATAAAATGTGACAGGGCCTGACTCAAGCTTGTCGTCCTCAAAATAAATCAATCAATGCAATGACAGAATGCCTCCCCGATCACTGTCGGCTTCTTCGTCAAATATGTCACCTTCAAGTCTTAGCCTTAAAGGGGTACTTCATGCTTTTTATGTTAAAATTAATGCAAATGTGACAGGACTGACAGAAACATGAGGACAATTGTAAAATAATTTATTTATAATTTAATGTTTTTAATCAATTGATGTGAATAATAACTTAAACTTGCTATTTCTGAAGAATTTTATTTCTAAATTGCAGTTTTTAGCATAACAAAACTATTAAAGCTGTAGGTTCAATTAAGCTAAGGACAATGACAGTGTTTGTATGAAGTGTTTTTATTAAAGAAAGAAAAATCTGAGAACCAAATGAAAGACATATTCCTTCACAGAACAACTCGCAGAAATCAGCAACCATTCCATATTAGAAACTTTAGAAATTAAATACTTTTTATTCACTGTATTTGTTTTTATTTCAGGGACAAATAATGTATGTTTCTGGTAGAATGCCCCGTATAAGAATTATTGACCTCCAAATGCATGCGAGTGATACTACAGACCTCTTTAGCCTCTGCTGACTTCAGCAGCTCCGGGTCCAATAGTTGAATATTGAGGTCAGGAAAAGCTTCCCGAAATTTAGTATAAATCTCCTCGTCCGATTTAGTTAGTTTTAGAAATTTAGGATCAACTGATGAAATAAGCTGTAGAAAAACAAACCACAGGTAAACTAAACGATATACACTAAAGCAATCAAAACAGCAGGACAGGTTGTGGCATTTTGTTCACTTACATTGAAGTAAACTTCAGCATGATTGTAGGCTTTCATAGCCCACATTACCTCCAACTGGGCCTGAAAGATGAGAAAAAAAGTTGCCATTTTAAGGTGATTTAAAAAAAAAAAGTGTGTGTGTATATAAAAACATGCAAATATCAAAACATCCCAACTCACATCATTTCCATAGGCCTCAGCTGGAAGAGAGAGCGCATGCGCAGCCGCGGTGGCTCCCTCTACACCCTGTTTATTAAAAGAAATATTACATCCAGTGGAGAATTAAACACTACAGTAACGTACAGTAATGCGCAAAACCATTGCATTGGAGGAAAAACAATGACAGGACGGTTTACATTACGATGTCAAGCACTTTAAAGACTAATATGAGCACTTTTATCTTTGGATAAATGTCAATAATTAGCGATATTCACTCGTATTCCTTATTAATTTCGTTATTTTGTCATTCGCTCAAAACATGCTTGTTAGCATGCAAGCTAACTTAGATTGACATGTAGCCATTTGGACTCTAACGTTAGACAGCCATGAATGTGTGTGCGCTGAAAACATTTAAATAAGTACTCCTGTCGCGTTATTCTGCAGTGTTTTGTGTTTGTTGATAAGTTCAAATAAATCGTTATTTACCAGAGATGCGAGCACATCTCCCGTGTCCATGCTGACGACTTTTGACCCGGATGAGCTACGAACACGTCATGACGACAGGTCACATGATTTAAATACGTCTTGTTTTGCTTTCTTTCGGTTTGCTGTTTAGATCAGCTGAAAGGCGTGGAAATAAAAAAGAACGAAAAGACTTTAAGAAATAAAGTGTATTTATATGGCGTTATATAATAAAACCATGAACACAAGAAGG